GAGTGAGTCGGGGGGAGGGGGGGAGGAGATGCGTCGTGATGTGTGTGATGTGTGGCCTTATTGAGGGCGACCCCCGCCTTGCCTTCAGCTTCGAATCACTTTTCATTTCCATTCCACTCTGTTTTTTTTCTTTCATTCAGCAAGCATTCATCTCTATTATCATCACCTCAGCTTCGTAATCACTCATCATCATCACTCTTTCTTTTTTTTTTATTCAGAAAGCACTTTCATCGTCTATATCACACTTCAGCTTATAATCACTATCATCTCCACTTTTTTCTCATTCAGCAGCACTTTCATCGTCTATTTCATCACTTCAGCTTCGTATCACTATTCATCATTCACTTTTTTCTTCATTCAGCAACACTTTCATTGTCTATTATCATCACCTCAGCTCGTAATATATACCATTCACTTTTCCTCATTCAGCAAGCACTTTCATCGTTATCACTATATCACACCATCAGCATCGTAATCACTTTTATCATTCACTTTTTCTCATTCAGCAAGCACTTTCATCGTTATTCACTTTATCATCACTTCAGCTTCGTAATCACTTTCATCATTCACTTTTTTTTCTTCATTCAGCAATCACTTTCATCGTTATTCACTATTATCATCACCTCCACTATTATTAGCATCATCATTCACTAATTATCATCACCACTATTATCATCATCATTTACTCATTATCATCATCATCATCATTCATATCATCAATCACTATTATCATCACCTCCACTATTATCATCATCACCCATTAATTATGATCTCCACTATCATCATCGTCATCCACTAATTACCATCTTCTCCACTATTATCATCATTCACTAATTACTATCATCTCCAGTATTATTATTATTTGTTTACCATCACCGCTATTATCATCGTTCACTAATTATCATCACTTTCACTATTATCATCATTCACTAATTACCATCACCTCCTTTATTATCATCCACTAATTACTATCACCACTATTATCATTATTTGTTTACCATCACCGCTATAATCATCGTTCACTAATTATCATCACCTCTATTATCATCATCATCCACTAATTACCATCATCTCCACTATCATCACCACCATCCATTATTAGCTTTACGACAACCACCTTTATTATCAATCATCATCACCACCACCATCATTAATTGATTATTATCATCTCTCCAAACAGGGTAATTAAGAATTATCATTAATGTTCCTCCGCATTATAACATTAGTATTATCATAATCAAAGTAATAACCATTATTATTTTAAATCTTTTAAATCATAATACTTGAGCATGTATTAGGAATCAGACAATAGCTGATAAATTTACGGTATATGTCATGGTAGAAATAGCATACAACATCAAAACAAAATAGATAATAAACTGTAACTTCATATTAACTGATACTGAATCATGTAATGAAAGGGAAAAGAAAAATACTGAAACATTGCTTCATAAATCAGTTTAATATTTGTCATTTCTGTTTTTAGTTTGTTTGTTTTTTCGTTAAGTCCGCAGTCAGTTGAAAATCGAAAAAATATGGCGAACGATAAAAAGACGTTGTTGAGTATAGCTAACAAATTGTGACTTCATATCGACTGACACTGAATAATAGGAAATAGAAAAATTCTGAAATTCACAATAATCAGCATGATATTGTTGTTTTTTTTTTCCTTCGTCAGGTTCTCAGTTGACTTAGAAAACCCTTAACTACAAAACCGATTCAGTGAAATATATAGATAAGTTAGCCCTGAAAACAGGCCACTCCGTTTTCTGTCTCACTTTTTTTTTCCTTCATCATACACAGTCGAAGTAACAGAAAAAAAAATGAATAAATAAATAAATAAATATTAATGATGCGAATAGAATAACACCTCACACCCCAAAACACGTAATAGACACCATTCGATTACACCTTTACAGACATGAATCAGCGAGATGGCAACTCACATGAAAAAAAGAAAAAAAAATTTAGCCGAAGATTCCCACTTGACATGCCATGGTTCCGCATAACTGTTGCCGTGACCTTGGATTACGTAGAACCTTCCAGATGGTGCTCAATATTCACTTCCAGCGCGGCGGGTGCAGCCAGGGTATAAATTTTCTTTTCTGGTTTATTAGATTTTTCATAAATTATCGTTTTATTCGACTCTTAGTCCTGGTGAATGCCTTGTTTCATCTACGTACACCTTTTCTTTTCCTTTTTCTTGTTTCTTGTCCTCCTCTTCTTCTTCTTCTTCCATCCCCTTCCTCTCCCCCACCTCTTCTTCTTCCTTCTCTTCCTCCTCTTCTTTTCTTCCATCCCCTTCTTCTCCCCCCCTCTCCTCTTCTTCTTCCTTTTCCTCCTCCTATTCTTCTTCTTCCTCTTCTTCCTCTTCTTCCTCCTCCTCCTTCATTTCCCCTCCTCCTCTCATCCTCCTCCTTCTCCTCTCCCTCTTCTTCTTTCTTCTTCCTCCTCCTCCTTCTTCGTTTTTTTTTTCTCTCCTCCTCCTTCCTCCTCCTCTTTCTCCACCTCTTACTTTTTTCCTCCTTCTTCTTCTTACTTTCCTTTCTCTTTTTCTTCTACTTCCCCTGCTCCTCCTCCTCCTCCTCCTTCTTCTTCCTCCTTCTTCTTTTTCTTCTTTCTCCTCTTCCTCCTTCTTCTTCCTCTCGTTCTACTCCTCTTCCAACTCCCACTTCTTTTTCTTCTTCGTCCCTTCCTCCTCCTTTTTTTCTTATTCTTCTTCAATTCCTCCTCCTTATCATCATCCTTAATATTACCCTCCTTTTCTTATTCTTCTTCCTCCTCCTCCTCTTCCTATCCTCCTTCTCCTTCTCCTCTTCCTATCCTCCTTCTCCTTCTCCTATTCTCTTCCTCTATCCTCTCTTTTTCTTTACTTCTCTTTTTCTTCAGTAATTAAAATAATCTTCTCGAGACTGAAGAAGAGAAAAAGAAAACTAAAAATATAATAAATAAATAATAAACTAATAATAACTTATAAATAAATAGTAATAATGAAAGATGAAAAAATAAGAAATAATAATAATAATAACAGATAAATACATAGATGATCATGATAATAAATAAATAGATAATAATCATAAATAAATGACTAAATAGTAATAAAGTTTAATTAAAGAAATGATGTAACCTTTTTACAATTCTTCTATTCACCGTGTTTAAAACGTAACGTGTTAAAAATCGTAAATAGGTGATAAAAGTTGTAAATATGTAATAATGGATTGTAAGTACGTGGTAAAAGTTGTAAATACGAGATAAAAAAAGATGTAAATATGTGGTAGATGTTGTAAGTATGTGGTAAAGTTGTAAATACGAAGTAAACGATTGTAAATATACGGTAAAAGTTGTAAATACGAGTTTTGTTTTTAAGATATGTGGGAAACGAAGCATTTGTGCGTAAATAGCTTTAAAATATGTGATAAAAGGTTATAATAACATAGCAAAGGCTGGGATTGTCTGGTTGAAGTTGTAAATAATTGTTAAATGCTTGAATCCTGCGGCGAAAAGTGTGGATACGTGTTAAAGGTTGTAATTATATGGTAAAAGTTGTAAATATGTGGTAGAAGATGCATTTATGTGGTAAGAGCTACATATCTGTGATAAAGGTTGTAACTAAGATTTGTTGTAAGAAAGAGAGAGAGAAGAGAGAGTGAGAGAGAGAGAAGAGAAGAGAGAGAGAGAAGAGAGAGAGAGGAGAGAGAGAGAGAGAGAGAGAGAGAGAGAGAGAGAGAGAGAGAGAGAGAGAGAGAGAAGGGAGAAGAAGAAGAAATAGAAAGGAGCAGGAGAGAGAGAGAGAGAGAGAGAGAGAGAGGAGAGAGGAGAGAGAGAGAGAGAGAGAGAGAGAAGAGGAAGAGAGAGAGAGAGAGAGAGAAGAGAGAGAGAAGAGAGAGAGAGGAAAGAGAAAGGAGACAGAGAGAGAGAGAGAGAGAGAGAGAGAGAGAGAGAGAGAGAGAGAGAGAGAGAGAGAGAGAGAGAGAGAGAAGAGAAGAGAGAGGAGAGAAGAGAGAGTAGAGAGAGAGAGAGACAGAGAAGAGAGAGGAGAGAGACAGCAGGCAGACAGGCAGACAGACAGAGACAGATAGACAGCAGTGGTATGTGTGTTTGCAGATAAATAGACAGACAGAAGAGAGAGAGGAGAGAGAGCCGGTGAGGATATGAGAGATAGAATGGAAAAAAAAGGAGAGGGAAGGAGAGAAAGAAGGGGGCGGGAGAGAGAGCGAGAAAGGAGGGAGGGAAAGAGAGAGAAGGTGAGAGGGAGTGGAAAAAGAGCTAGGGGGAGGAGGGGAAGAGCTATGAGGAGGAAGGAGAAGAGAGAGAGAGAGAGAGAGAGAGAGAGAGAGAGAGAGAGAGAGAGAGAGAGAGAGAGAGAGAGAGAGAGAGAGAGAGAGAGAGAGAGAGAAGAGAGAGAGAGAGAGAGAGAGAGAGAGAGAGAGAGAGAGAGAGAGAGAGAGAGAGAGAGAGAGAGAGAGAGAGAGAGAGAGAGAGAGAGAGAGAGAGAGAGAGAGAGAGAGAGAGAGAGAGAGAGAGAGAGAGGGAGGGATAATACCTGTATTATTTAGGTCAGCCAGTTGCATGCAATAAGTACCCTGTGAACTGAAATCGTATTGATTAATACTGTATTTGTTTAACAGTGAATGCAAATTTGCTGCTAGAGAAAAGATCTGTTATATAAAGCCGGGATCTGTCATTTGTTTAAGACCAGTTAATAATTCTGCCATCAACTGTTAGATAAATAACTTTAGATGCATTTCGTGATAAATTATATTCTTTGCAAATGACACTAATTTCTAATCCCATCCAATATTTTTCTCCCTTCAATATCTCACTCCCTTCCCCTCCCAACGCTATCAAATAAATACAGAACCAAGCCCCTGAATCATTAACGAATATAGAAAATACACCCCAGTCAGAAACACGAAAAGAGAAGAGAAACAGCAGCATATGGAAAAATAATTCCATGGAAGCCACGCCTTTTTAAAACTTTATACTCACGGTCCCTCTCCCAGAATCTTACATCCATGACGCCTTCCAAAACAAACAAGATAAATAAGGGAGATTTAGCTCCTCCTGTGGCTCTATGCAGGGACGAAACGGGACTAATGAAGGTATGTTGGTGCCTTAATTAAAGGTATTGGGGAGGATTACACAGAGGGGAAGGATTAAGGGCGCGAGAGAGAGGGATTTAAGGAGATGTTATTGTCTCCTTGGGGTTTTATTTCGTGTTTTTTTTTTTTCCTTCGGCTTTTCCTTTACTTTTCCTTCGTCTTCTTCCATGCCGGTATTCGTCTACGGTTTTTAGGTTTTTAGTTTTTAGTCTTTTTGGGTGTTTTTTAGGTGTTTGTGTTTGTATTTTATGATTTTATTTCATATTCGGTTCATTTTGTATTATTCTTGTTTTTATTTTATTTGTGTGCATTATATTGTTACTATTTTCTGATATGTTATATAAATCATATAGTATAATGCTATCGAAGATATAACAGAAAGGTATAAGATAATACAGAATAAAATATAGTGTAATCTAAAGGAAAAATAGGAGAAATACACATCACAAAACTAACTATGAATTATGTAAGAAAAGAGAATATATTTTGCTTCAAACAACAATACATTTTTTAAAGAATATGCATTGACAGTAAAAGAATCCCTAATTTGTTAATAGTTTAATTGTAAATGAAAAAATTGAGAAAATTGAATATAGGAATATGAAATTAAATATTACATAAATTATAGAGTATAATGATATGTAGAGTATAACTTTAAGATCAAAGATTTTTTAATTTCATTTTTCTTATTATTTTTATTTTACTTTCAAAAGTTTTAGTGATTGTATCAAAATATATGCAGATTATGAATTTATTGTTATGGGAAAGTAAAAATCTTACAATAAAAATGTATTTTTATTTGGAGTTTATTGGCTTTTTCTTATCTGATTCATAGTTAGTATTACTATGATCTCCATCTCCATCTTTACATTTATAATTTTTATCTTTATCTTCATCTTCATTATTTCCTTTATTTTTATTATGATTATCATCATAATTTTTATTATGGTATTATTGATAGCAGTATTGATTTCATAATTATTTATATTATTATTGCTATTGCTATTGCTGTTGTTATTATTATTTATCATTATCATTATCATGTCATTATCATTATCTTATTATTATTATTATTATTTATTATTATTATTATTATATTATTATTATATTATTATTATTTATTATTATTATTATTATTATTCATTACTATTACTATTACTATTACTATTACTAATTACTATTACTATTACTATTACTATTACTATTATTAATGTCATTGTTATCATAGTTAATGTTATAATTGTTGATGTTATTGTTTTATTATTATTATTACTATCATTATTATTATTATTGTCATTATCATCATTATTGATATGGCTATTATTAGAGTGAGAGTGAGAGTGAGAGTGAGAAAGAGAGAGAGTGAGGTAAATAGATATATTTATAGACAGACATTTTTTACTTATATATACATACATTGAGATATATGTAAAATGGATAGTCTAGAAAATGTTTTCTCATATTTTGATATCAGCTTTATGTAGAAGCATTTACCCATAGATATTGAGACAAATTTGCGAACCATAGTCCTTAAAGATCATTTCGATTTTGCAGATGTTGAACGTGATCAGGAGATGTGCCTTAGATGGTTTCTACTCGTGCAGAACGTGTCAAAAGTTTCAGTTCCAGCCCAACAGGTTTTACACATCAAAAAATATATTAAAACTGGAGGAAAGGGGTCTATGGGCGGATCGCTTTCCTGAGTCGAAGTAAGTTTGGGTAGAAGTTTACAGTGTGATGATATTAGTGCTATTGTTAATATAGTTATTTTTTTATGTCATTGTTATAGTTATTATTATTATTACTGTTCTTGTTATTATTGTTATTGTTGTTGTTGTTATTGTCATTGTTGTATTTGTTATTATTATCATTTTCATTATTATTATTACTATATCATCATTTTCACTTATTTTATTTATATCAATATCTATTTTAATGAGTGTGATTCATTTAATGTAAGATACTTTTGAACAAATGAATTAGAAGTTTTATTAACTCATTTGAATGAATATTGAATGATACTCTGTATTACTGAACCTTAGATATATTATTGATTGAAATATTGATATATTATTGAAAGAGGGAGTCAAATGATAAAAGTAATTTGCACAGTACACATGAGAAACATAACAGGCACTTAGATAACAAGTATCTCAATTGCCACTATATTGGAAGGTCAAAGTGTCGTGGCTGAGAGGCCAGAAGAACTGGTTTGGATACACTTTTTGACCTTTCTAGAAAGAGACGCAGGCATGTCTTGATTTGGCACAATTTCAACGAAGCTGGTGATCAGGGTAGTCTCTATCAGTGAACTGGATGTATACTATATGGATGTATTTTAGTAGGTTGTATATGTTTTCTTTGCTTTGTATTTGAGTGCAGGTAGTTGTGTATTTACTCTCTTTTGTATCAGTATGCTGGTTAAGAGTCGTTTCCGAATCTTCCAACTTTGCCACCAACACCAGAATTCTTTACAGCCAGTCATTAATCAGTCATCAGTCTGTCATTTGAGAGTTTTGGTAATTTCTAATGACATCTGTTCAGACAGTATAAAACTGTAAAGCCAGATAAAATGATGTAGGAAAGATAGGTCGTAATGTGTTATTTTTTATTATTATACTACTTTCTATAAGGCCAGCCACACAATTTTAGGACCTCTGCAATGCATAATTGGGCCAAGTTTTGTAGATTAGAAAACTACTGCTGTAGACTGTTGATGTAGTGTCAGATAATAATGTTATGATGTCAACTTATATGATACAGTGTCAGATGCCTTGGCTGTTAAAGGACAGGTTGCAAGCCAAGCACTTCATTTGGGCACTTTGAGCAATCTGCCTGTGGTCCTTAAATCCTGTAGATGCTTAAAAAAAACTTGTTTGCTTCATGGAAGTAAATTTGTATCAGGTACACTCTTGCACAGGCTAGAAGCACCCTATACAACTTCACAGTGCAAGAGGTGGATGTGACCCATTTGAATTGCGTCTTCATCAGAGATACAAAGTTATTAATTATCATCCATACCTTTTTCTTCAATTGTCACAATGAACTCTTCAGATTATCAACATTATTTTCTTCATTTCAGTACAAACAAGTTGATCGAAGAGCTATTAGACCATCCGCATACTGTATACAGTGGCTTCGATCCCACTGCAGACTCACTACACGTTGGAAACTTGTTAGTGGTGGTGTCGTTACTTCACTGTCAGCGCGCGGGACATAATGTAATTGCTCTTGTAAGTATTATCTTATTGTTAGATAAGTATACTGTTGGTTATTAGGATAAATGACATTGATTGTGATTTTAATGTGTATGATCATTGGGTAGCTATACTGTAAAGCTTAGTTTGTATTTAGGTAGTTTGGATGTGATTTGAGTAATTGGGTTCTCAAAAGTAAGACGCATTATTGACATTTTTGTCCACTAGCACACTAAATTATAAGTTTTGGGCCATTTACTGGGGAATGATATATTGACTAGGTATGGTTTTTGGTTAGGGTAAGGTTAGCATAGTATAGTTTAGTTTGATTTTGCTTAGGTGATTTTTGCTTGTTTGGAGAAGGAATAGGATGTTCCATCGGGTAAAATTTCCATCACCCAAAGTACCGTCCGTGAATTTCCAGGTTATTCCATTCAGAGCAGAAGACGGAATTTTAGACACATAAAAAGAAATTACAAACCGGAGCTTTATCTTAATCACAGGTGGGCGGAGCTACGGCGCAGGTGGGAGACCCCAGTGGGAGGAGCAAAGAGAGGCCGCTGCTGGAGCCCAAGGTGATCGAGAGCAATTCCAAAGGCATTGCCGAAAACCTTCAGAGAATATTCAAGAATCACCAGCAGGTGTTTTGGGACAGAGGGACGGAGGACACGTTGGCTCCTCTCAGGTATGGAGGTAATTTTAGCATAGGGGTTTATTATTATTATTGGGGATGCTGTTATTATTTTAGTAATAATGGTGATGATAATAATAGTTATTGTGTATATTATTATTTTGATTATCATTAAAATTAGCTGTATTATAGTTAACATTATTATTAGTATTGTTATTATTATTATTACTATTATTATTGTTGATGTTGTTATTGTTATTATTATATAATATTAATAATAATGATAATAATAATAATTAGAATTATTATTATTATTATTATTGCTATTATTATTATTATCATTATCATTATTGTTCTTATTGTAGTTTTTGTTGTACTATGATTAATATTTTCTTTCATTATTTATTATTATTATTAATATTTAAGAGATGAGATATGACAGTTGCCTCTCTTAGGTATGTGAGCATGAGAGATGAAACAAGGCAGTAATTATAAAAAAAAAATAATAATAGTAACAAGTTGATATTATAGTAGGAAAATCAAGATTAGAACAGTTTGAGATGAAAAAGGTGTTTATTAAAAAAAATATATATACGTTATACAAATACAGATTATAACATTGTCTCACTGTTCCCTGTAATTGTTACATCGCGGCCCCGCAGCACCACCGGACTGTGTGGCACCGCGCGGTGCGGTGGAGCTGGAGGACTCTATGAAAAAGATATGTATAAGGAAAACACATCATATCTCCCCCATATATATGACCTCCCTCTATGCCCTATGCAGAATTGTGAATAACTACGACTGGTACAAGAAGCTGAATGTTGTGGACTTCCTGAGAGTGGCGGGTCGTAGTTTCCGTATGGGCACAATGCTCTCCCGATCCAGTGTGCAGTCGCGGCTCAACTCGGAAGACGGAATGAGCTTGACGGAATTTACCTATCAGGTCTGTGAGGTGGAATCAGCTCTCCACCTTTATCTACTGTTTTTTCTTCTTTTTCTGCTTCTAATTTCTCTTCCACTCCCTCTTCTTCTCCCATGTCTCCATTAGCAGCTTCTTTTTCTCTTTC